TTCTAATTTGGTTTACTCTATTGGCAATACTATTAACAAAAACAAAAAAATAAAAAAAAATAACAACCACAACAATAATAATAATAATTGTGATATTTTAGATAATATCTCAAAAAATATATTCACAATTACATTATGTTAATATAACTACTTTTTAGAAGGATTATAATCAAATAGAAATAGATTTAATTTAATTGCTTAAAGAAAAATTAGATTTATTTTTAACATCTGGGGATTTAGTAAATTTTTTAAATTCTAAGCAACTAGATCCTCTCTTTAATAGAATTTTAAGTCTTGTATTATTTCAAAATCAAGCAAATATGTTTCTGATGAAGTCAAAATCAAGAGTAGCCTACTGATTTCAAAAATAATTATCAAGGGATGGTTCGACTCAGCTGTTTCAGAGGAAAAAATAAAAGTAATTGAAAATATCCTCTCCTCTTTGTATAGTTGCATTTCAAATCCGGAACAAGCAACTATTAAACAATCCAAAGTTGCCCTCTCAATTTTTAGTCCATTTTGGTAATGTAATTATAGATAATCAAGAAAATAACAAAATAAAGTATTTTTAAGGTTATTTACAAGATTTTTAAAATTTTTTTATACCTTTTTATAAAATTAAGACCTCATGAATCAGTAGCAGGTAACAGTCAATTACGTTCCAATACATGTTTATATGGTCCTTATATGACTCCATCAATACCGATTTCAGTTTAGATTAAAAGTCAAAACATATTTATATATATTTTACCAAAACTTTATATTATTTTAATATAAAATAAAATAACTAAAAATAAAAGATTCTTTAAAATGGAACCTTTTTTTTTTTTAAATTTACTGCCTGGATATTCTTTGCCAGTGAATCTAAGTGTTTAAACCAATCATTTCAAAAAATTTGGGCCTAGATATTGTAGTATTTAAAAACATGTAATAAAGTGCACTATGCACAACTAAGGCGTGAGGTGACCAACTTAGCAAAAGGGAAATTTCTTAATTTATACTATTAATTTGAACTCCTACTTTGTTCAAACCTTATGGGGATCATATTCTACAAACATTCATAAAAGCCCGGCTAGCTTTTTTGCTTTTTAAAAATATATTGGAATGTTTATTCCATTTTATTATTTTATTAATTATAAGACCTAAGTATCTGAATTGACCAGATATTACTTGAAGCAAAATTAAACCGTTGCAATTTTGGTTGAATAAATTGAATTATTCTGAGGTAACTTAATTTATTATTGCAAGAATAATAAATTTCCGGAGATCCAACTTTCTTTTAAGGTGGTGTTACTTCATAAAAGATGCCCGCATCTTAGCTAATAGAATATGAATTAAACATTACAGCCCTTGGCAGTTTAGCATAGCATAAGTTTCATCTTGTACGGAGAACCTTGGGTTAGTGTTTCCTTGCAAAGGAAACCTTTCTATCCAGTTAAATAGCACGTATACAGCTCGGTATAACTTTAGTGCATTGGCGTAGAGTCTTGTTAATCCTTTCGGTTGACTATGGATATGTACAGATGCCATATATATCTTTTATT